GGAAATCAATCCATTTCTTTTCCAAACAAGAAAAACCACAAAACTTACCCAGCCACATAATTTAAGTCTTACTAGCCAATACAAATTAGGTAAGAATTAGACTGCTTTGTTCAGCTGTTCAAAAGTGTATTTAATAGGATTTAAAAGGCCTCTGTAGCGGTACAGCCATCCCCCTAAGCCGAGTTATCATTTGGCCCAAACTATCAGACTAGATTCAAAAGCTCTCCTGGGTAAGCTGTTTACTAATAGGAATGTAAAAATGAAAAAAATATTAACCGTGTAACTGATACAAATTTTATCAGTTACACAGTTAACTACTCTGGGGGCTGCCAGCCCCATGAAAAGTTTAACTGATGGGGCTGATGCTTCATGTTACAGTCTTATATCCATATTTACTAGTAGGAATGTTGACAGTTTTTATATAATGTACTTTAATGCTCTTTCTGGACTGGCACAGAGTAGATTAGTTGTTTCTTTACTTTAAGACAAGAACACAAGAGAAAAAGTGATTCATGATTGCATATAGAAATACAGTCTTCAGAAGACTGACCTAATCACAGATGTTTTTAGATAGTCAAATTGAGGGGGAAGAGTTACAAGGGTAAATTTCACAAAAAATGAAAGACAGGAAACCAACAGGAATAAGCCCTAGTTCAAGCAGGTGCGATAAGTGTGCATCTGTCAGACTGTCTTTCCCAAAGCACCTCAATCATGACTTGCTACAACTGGTCTATCTCAGACAGAAGTTATTTACTTTGAGTGTAGCTTTGTGATGTGGAAAGTTAATATCAGATCAGGGTAAAAACCAGGTGATAATCACAATGTTACAAGAAAACATTTTGGAATCTAGGTTCACTGAGGATAAGAAAGAGGTGTTTCTCACATGTGTACATATAGCACTTTGCAAAATGGGGCCTTGAATCTCGCTTCAGGCCTTGTCACTACTGCAGTATAACTTAGCCCACTGACACTTCCTTTCAAAAAGAAAGTAAATATATTTGACAGTTAAGAGAACTGCATCTTCAGGGCAAAAAGTTGAGTCCCAAGGATTGCTTGATGGCATTTATGGAAAGAACTCACATCTCTATTAAGCTAACTTGCAGCTGAACACATAGCATGGTCAATTCTGTAGTATTAACAATGTACAAAGACCTCAAACAGTCAAACTGACTCATTTATAGGTCAGGCCAGCTTCCACTGGAGTCTGGTATCTTTCTGTTGATTTCACTAGAAGTTGCATCAAGCATACATGGGGTGGGGAGGGGAGAGGGAAGAGAATCAAAGGCTCAGATGAAACTTGGTGGCAAAATTTCAGCTCCATTCAACATTTACCAGAAGTCAGGCATGTAAGCACTTTATGGCAAATGTAAGAATAACTGTGAGCCCAGCCCAAGGAATGCTCAATCACTTCCTTCTAACTCCGTCATCAAATATTTATGCCAGTCATATTATAGAGGTTTGGTATTCTACTTGGAGTCAAACACTTAGGCTTGCAATTAAATCTAACTGCAGCATATCTATATCAGGTGGTACGAAAACCCTCACACCTCCAGATGAGAGAAAAAGACACACACTGAAATGGAATTCTACTAAATAATAAACATTTATTTAGACAGATAGACATGCTGACAAGCCTTAAGTGAGGATATTTTAAATTTGGGGGAGGGGAGAATTAGCAAGGGATCAAAGATTGTATGACAGCTCAGATTATCCAGATAAAATGCATTGTCTCATTTAATATAGCACTGTGTTTCACAAAAATGTAATTCAAAAGAAGATACTGTGATATCCTATAAGGAGGTCTTTAGTAGTGCAATGTAATTTACCTGTATAAACAAGGAAGTGGTTTTTAAATAACAGAGTTTAAAGCCATAATTAAGCTGTCTTGCAATTGACGTAACTTTACTTTAGGGTGTGTTAAGAATGGCACAAGAAAATACTGAACATATATAAAGCCAAAGGTTTGTCTGTAATCTGAAATACTGGATTTGTGTCAAAAGTAGAAAGGGTCCAGTGAAAGATGACAAAAGCGACTGCAGATCTAGAATGACTTCTGAGGATAGACATAAGAACATAAGGATGGCCATACTGGGTCAGACCAAAGGTCCATCCAACCCAGTATCCTGTCTGCCGACAATGGCCAATGCCAGGTGTCCCAGAAGGAGTGAACTGAACAGGTAATGATCAAGCGATCTCTCTCCTGACATCTAGCTCCACCCCCTAACAAACAAAAGCTAGGGACACCATTCCTTACCCATACTGGCTAATAGCCATTAATGGATCTAAACTCCATGAATTTATCTAGTTCTCTTTTAAACCCTGTTATAGTCCTAGCCTTCACAACCTCCTTAGGCAAGGAGTTCCACAGGTTGACTATGCAGTGTGTAAAGAACTACTTCCTTTTATTTGTTTTAAACCTCCTGCCCATTAATTTCACTTGGTGGCCCCTAGTTCTTATATTATGGGAACAAGTAAATAACTTTTCCTTATTCATTTTCTCCACACCACTCATGATTTTATATACCTCTATCATATCCCCCTTTGGTCTCCTCTTTTCCAAGCTGAAAAGTCCTAGTCTCTTTAATCTCTCCTCATATGGGACCCGTTCTAAACCCTTCATTTTAGTTGCCCTTCTCTGAACCTTTTCTAATGTCAGTATATCTTTTTTGAGATGAGACCACCATATCTGTACAGTACAGGCAGTCCCCGAGTTACGCGGATCCGACTTATGTCGGATCCGCAGTTACGAACGGAGCCGTTCCTCTCCCTGGTCTCCAGCAGACCAGGGAGAGGAAGCAAAGCGGCGGAACACGTGGGCAGCGC